CCCAGTCAGGGAGATAACCCACATAGAACAGCAGACCTGTCCTGTTTTGCCCCTCTGCTATCCCCAGCAGTATATTTTCAGTAGGATTTGCCTGTTCTGCTGCCCATTCTGTCTCTGGTGAATCCTCTTACTTCCCACATCTCTGGTCTGTACCCCAGTTCTTGTGTGCATAACTAAATAAACCTTTAAAAGAAAAAAAAAATTAGTACAATGTAAAACATCTAGGAGAGTTCCTTTCACAAAGGAGGCCCACAAAAAATTGACCATTATGTTTACATTATCTCTTGAGTACTTTGGCACTAGATTCATTCCCACGACTAGTTCTTAGTCTAAACCAGTGTTGTCCCATATGGTAGCCTTCAGTCACAGGTGACAAATGAGCGCTTGAAATCTGGCAAGTCCAAATTGATATGTGCTTTAAATGTATTTATAAATCAAATTTCAAAGCTCTAGCAAAAAAAAAAGGTATCAAATATCTTAATGCTTCGTGTACTAATTACACGTTAGGAGATAATACTTTGTATACATTGGTTTAAAAACAACTGGGGGGCCCTCCCTGGTGGCTCAGCGGGTTAAAGCACAGCACTGAGAAGCTAAAGCCACTGTAGCATGAGTTTGAGTCCCGCCTGCCCCCAGGTGACCCACATGGCGTGACAGGCCTCTCCTGACCAGCCCACTGCTCCCCTCAGCAGTGTATTTTGTCGATCTACCTGTTCTGCTCCCCACTGTCTCTGGTGAATCCTCTCACCGCCCTGCATCTCTGGCCTGTACCCCAGCTCTGTATGTATAAATAAATAAATCTTAAAAAAAAAATAAATAATAAATAAATAAAAACAACTGGGGCCTCCCTAGAGGGGCAACAAGAAGCTTCAGCACTATGAAGCTCTCTGCAGCCACTGCAGCATGAGTTCTATCCCCAACCAGGGGACCTCTCCTGTCTCGCCCTCCTGCTCCCCTCAGCAGTGTATTTCAGTCAGTCTGCCTGTTCTGCCCCCAACTCTGTCTCTGGTGAATCCTCTCATCCCCCTCACTGGCCTTGTATGCATAAATAAACATTTTTAATTGAATTAATTTCACCTGTTTTGTTTTTTAATGTGGCTAGAAATTTTATGTGGCCTACCCTTTGACTTCAAGCTAGAAAACTTTGCAGTGATACACTAGGCAAAGGTCACTGGACTAAAGCACCCTCAAGCGGGCAGACGCTGGCTCATTTTAACACGCCCCACTTTGACGACCCCGGGAAAGCTGCTGACTTACTGCCCTTAATTTTAAGAGTACAGAACACATAGACCTGCCGAGACACGTCCAAGTTATTATCCACACAACAGGGAAATGTCTTGAGAAAAACATTGGGTCCTCTCCGATGAGGGTCTCTCACAAAGGTACTGGGAGTTTGAAAGGAAGGAGTCACCCTTAAGATTAAGTGAGAAGGAGGGAAAAGGAAGAGGCAGCCGTGAGCTCCCTGGATCTGAAGGACCGTAATGCGGAGCCTCTGGAAAAGAGGTCTGTCTGAGGAAAGTCATCTCAATTTCTAGCGACACGAATCTAAAAATTGCAGGGAAGGTGTTGGGTTCCCGAGAGGATGCAAGGAAGAGGGGTACCTTAAGAATTCCCCTCATCTTCGCCAGAAAGGGTCGGAATTCCTCGAGTGGAACTTCAGGATAGAGCTGGCTCCTCAGCAGCTCCTCCGTGATGCCCGTGTGTCCGTGGAAAGCGTCCTGAGCCAAGCCGCTTAGCAGCCCGCTCAGGGGCTTGCAGCTATCCAGGTCGCCCGCCATGGCCAGAGGTGGCGCCGCCCGCAACTGGTGAGCAGGACCCAGCCACGGCGGCCGAGATGGGCCAAAACAGCTTGAAAAAAGGCGCGCAGGGAAAATGGGGCGGACACCCCGAGGGGTCTGGGGGGCAACTCCCAGGTTTGCTTTGCAAAACCCTTTCTCTCGGAGTGCCACTATAGAACTAGCTACCCAGTTGCAGGGGATCATTTTGCTTCCGCCGATTTCTTTCATTACTCTAGTACCCAGTCAAAGATCTCTCGGAAATCTCTTGGGATGTGGCAGCATCCGTATAAGGGTGGCAGCATCCGTATAAGGGTGGCAGTTTTGCTTTTGGATGTATGTCATTCCAGACCTTGCAGTCCATTAAATGAATAGGATCTATTATTCCGATCTCATGTCTGCCTAATCCTTATCCATCCATAGTTTGTCCAAGAAAATTTAACAATCACCAGTTTGCAGGATTGTTGTCTTGATATATACATTTGTCTTGCTTTCCAGCTTAGAGGAGTGACTCTGATCCAACACTCCTTTCTAGAACATTTTGAATACCTACTTTACTTTCCTGAAATGAAATGTGCAGATAACTTCTATCCATAAAAGTTGCAAAAAAAAATCAATATACTACTCATACTACTCATTCATAGAAATGAGGTACTGATATTTACTACAACATGGATGAACCTGAGAAACATGCTAAGTGAAAGGAAACAAACACAAAATTTCAGATATTGTACCATCCCACTTACATAAAATGTCCTGAATAGGCAAATCCATAGAAACAGGTAGTAGACTAATGGTTGGAGGAAGGGGAAAATAGGGGTAACCTTTAGGAGATTTCTTTTGGGATTGGTGAAAATGTTGTAGAATTAGTGGTTATGGTTGCAAAACTTCAGGATTATACTAAAATCTACTGAATTGTACATCTTAAAAGAAGAAATCAGGTCTTCCTGGTGGTACAAGGGTTTAAGTCTCAGCACTATGAAGCTACCTGCAGCCTCTGTGGCACAGAGAGCAATCCCAGGTCTGGGAGCTGAACCACATAGCGCAGCAGACCTCTCCTTCTCACCTGCTGCTCCCTACAGCAGTGTATTTCAGTCAATCTGTCTGTTCTGCTCGTCACCCTGTCTCTGGTGAATCCTCTCACACATACCCATCTCTGGCTTGTACTCCAGTTATTGTATGCATAAATAAATCTTTAAAAATAAATAAAAGAAGAAATCTCCATTTAAAAAGCAATATAATGGGGTCTCCCTGTTGGCTCAGGATTAAAGTCTCAGCACTATCAAGCTATTGCCAGCCACTGATGTGGCCAGGGGGCCAGGGAGCTAACCCACGTGGCACAGCAGACCTCTCCTGTCTTCCCCACAGCTCCCTTCAGCAGTGTATTTCAGTAGACCTAAATGTTCCTCTCCCCACTCTGTCTCTGATAAATCCTATCATCCACCCCTCACACACACACTCTGGCCTACAACCCAGTTCTTATATGCATAAATAGATAAAAATAAATATTTGTAAAAAATGATATAATGACCTGACTGTAATTTAGAATAAAAATAAAAGGAAAGCAATTTGTAACACATGTATTTGGAGCTATATGAAGTAGCCAGATACCTGCATCTCTATGTAGAACACCTAGGGCTAGTACAAATACAAAGTGATACATATATGCTGCACTGGGAGGGGAAGATGGAGGCTTGCTACTGCTAACACAATGTTCTGATGTGTGAAAACAAAGGTTAGGGAAGTTCAGAACAAAAACCAGTTTTCTCAGCCAGTTTTCGTAGTATAGTGGTTATCACATTCACCTAATAAAAAACTGTTTTTCTCCTCACTTTAATTAATAATTGCAAACCAGGAATGTTCTGTGTATAATAAAGCCATAATAAAAATACATTGTGTCTGTCTGCAAAAATGGGGTTAGATTTCAGGCTCAGATTTTTTCACCTACAAGAAATTTTTCCCTGCATGGCAAAATGTCTTATATCCTTGGTCCCTGTCCAGCCTAAGCCATTCCTCCCTCTCCATTTTTGTGACAATTGAAACACTCCTTCTAAAATATCTACTGAGAATCACAGATCTGAACTGCTTTAATGTTTATTCAGTGTTTATCTGAAGTCAAGAATCATTATTTATAATGGAAAAGATATTTCTTTCCCTAAGGAAATTAATTTTCTGAAATGCAAATTCAAAGACGCTTCTTTGCTTTCACAGAACCAAGAAAAGGAAACCTAGAGATAAATATACACTGTGTTAACTGTACCAACAGAAATTACAAAGAACGTCAACCTTAGAGAGCTTTTAAGGGTGGTTAGTACAAAGAAACAGTACCATTAAGTATGGCTTCACAATTATCTACTAGAAAGGTTATACAAATTTATTTTAATAAACCTTACTAATACTAATACTGCTTTATATAATCATTGCCATGTGATAAAGGGAAAATATTATCCTTTTTAATTTGTATTCTTAAATTTTGAGTGAATACCTTTCCATACATTTATTGAATTCTTTCTTTTTATTTCCTTGTCCATTTTTTACAGGTTTCTGTCATATCAGTGATTTCTAAGTGTAAGTATTCCTTATACACTCAGAATTATTAATGCTTGTCACTTACATTGCATGATTTTCCTGGGTTTATATAGTTGAATATATCAACTTGCATAGAAAAAATCTGGAAGATTATTTCCCAACATGGCTATAAATACATGTGTGAGTAAATTAATATGGTTTTTATTTGCTTCTTTTTGTTTACCTGATTTTTTAAAATGTCTACATTTTACATGTAATATTACTGTAATAAAGTTATCAATGAAGAGATAAATTGTATGTCTTATAATAAAAATTCCTTTAATGTAAAATTTAAAATATATGTATTCTGCATGTTGAATACTGAGAAAAACTACAACCTATTTCTTAAATTTTTTTTAAGATTTATTTATTTATTCATACAGAACTGGGGTACAGGCCAGAGATGTGGAGGGTGAGAGGATTCACCAGAGACAGAGCGGGGAGCAGAACAGGCAGACTGGCGAAGTACACTGCTGAGGGGAGCAGTGGGCGGGTCAGGAGAGGTCTGCTGTGACATGTGGTCACCTCCCAGGCAGGCGGGGATCGAACTCATGTGGAAGTGGCTTAAGCTTCTTAGTGCTGTGTTTTAATCCGCTGCACCACCAGGGAGGGCCTATTTCTTAAATGTTTTGATAACATTACATACTTGCAGAATTGATAGAAGTCTCAGATATTTTTTCCCCACAATTGCAACTCTACCCAAATGTAGTCTAAGATATGTAAGGGTTAAATCACCCATCTTTCTGTAAGTCCCCTCACTTTTACTAATCATGAGACCACCCTCTCCGTAATTTCAGTTCTAACTAACCCTCACAATAAGTTTTTTTGAGTTTTTTGTTTGTTTTTTGATAAAGATTTATTTATTTATGCATACAGAACTGGGATACAGACCACAGGTATAGGTAGTGAGAGGATTCACCAGAGACAGAGTTGGAAGCAGAGCAGGCAGGTGTAACACAGTACACTGCTGAGGGTAGCTGCAGGGGAGACAGGAGAGGTCTGCTGCACCATATTGGTCACCTCCCTGACCAGCCAGGGATTGAATTTGTGCTGCAATGTCTGGTGATTGCTTTATAGTGCTGTCTTTAATCTCTGCAATAAATTCCTTTTTAAAAAAAATTTGTTTATTTATGCATACAGAACTGGGGTACAGGCCAGAGCTGCGGGGGCAGTGAGAGGATTCACCGGAGACAGAGTGGGGAGCAGAACAGGCAGATCAACAGAATATACTGCTGAAGGGAGCAGCGGGTGAGTCAAGAGAGGTCTGCCGAGCTATGTGGATCACCTCTGAGGTGGGGTTACACTCATGCTGAAGTGGCTTTAGCTTCTCAGTGCTATGCTTTAACCGGCTGTGCCACCAAGGGAGGGTCCCCGCTGTGATAAATTCTTAAAGAGTAATCTTCAAGAAGCAGGGGAACACTATACATCACTATCATTATTTAACTCTCATTTCAAGATATGTAATATCTGGATATATCACTGCCTACCTGAGTATACAGAAGTTCCAAAACACCAAGGTGACAATAAAGAAAATCATCCCTGTGCCACCGGGGCTGCTGTTACCAATGCAATAGTTTAAGATTGTTAACAGGTGCAAACAAAGTATCAATGTACAAAGTTTTATTTTATTAAATCTCAAAACACAACCTGTTTTGAAGAAAACAAACCAGGGTAAAAGCCTATTAAAAAAATTGTCTAATGGGACCTCCCTGGAGATGCAAAGGGTTAAGTCTTAGCACTATGAAGCTATCTGCAGTCACTTCAGCACAAATTCAATCCCCTGCGAGGGAGGTGACCCACATGGCACAGGGACCTTTCCTGCCTGGCCGACTGCTCCCCTCAGCAATATATTTCAGTAGATTCACTTGTTCTGTTCCCCACTCTGTCTCTGGTGAATCCTCTCACCTCTCCATCCCTGACCCCACCTGTATCCCAGTTCTTACATGCATAAATACATAAATCTTAAAAAATAAAAAGCAACTTTAAAGAAAAATTGTCTAAAGAGGCACAAAGAGTTAAAGCACAGCATGATGAAGCTATCCAAAGCTACTGCGGCATGATCCCAGGCCAAGATGGTGACCCACATGGCATGGCAGACCTCTCCTGTCTTGTCCACTGCTTCCCTCAGCAGTGTATTTCTTTTCTGTTTTTTTTTTTTTAAGATTTATTTATTATGCATACAGGTGAGAGGATTCATCAGAGACTGAGTGGGGAGCAGAACAGGCAAAATGACTGAAATACACTGCTGAGGGGAGCAGTGGGTGGGTCAGGAGAGGTCTGCCATGCCAGGTGGGTCACCTCCCTGGCGAGGGATCTCACTCATGCTACAGTGGCTGCAATAGCTTCATAGTGCTGAACTTTAACCCGTTATGCTACATGAAGGGCCCAGCAGTGTATTTTAGTCAATAGGCCTGTTCTGCTCCCCATTTGTTGCTGGTGAACCCACTCATCTTGCACCTCCAGCCTGTACCCCAGTTCTTGTATGCATAAATAAACAAACCTAAAAACAATTATCTAAAGAGAGGCAACAGATCCTCCTTACTTGCCTAGGGTTAAATCTCATCACTACCACACTGGCCTGATTTCAATCCCAGCCAGGGTGCTTACCCTGGAATGCACAGCAGACTTCTGTTTCACAGCTGCTTCCCTTAGCAGTGTATTTCAATAGAGCTGTCTGTTCTGCTCCCCACTCCTTCTCTGGTGAATCCACTCACACTGCCCCCGCCCACACACACACACTCCAGTTCATATATGCATAAATAAATAAATCTTAAAAAAGAGAGCAGGGGCCAACATAAAGGAAGAGTCCCTAAAGTTAACCACAAGCACCTGACAGTCCTGGTAAATGGGTGACCAAGTCAGTTTCCACTTTAAGGTCCATTAAGCATTATTACTTCCTTATTAAACTACTCCTTTTTATGGCTGATAGGTTATTTGGCCCTAAGGTCAGCAGTGTATTTTTTTTTTAAGGTTTTTGACCTCCGAATACATTTTAAAATGTGCACTGAAATATGCATAGATACAAGGGCCTTAAAATTTTGCAGTAATGTCTCCCTGCTCCCTATCTGTACACCACTCTTTCCAATTTTATTTTTTAAAAGATTTATTTATGCATACAAGAACTGGGGTACAGGCTAAAAGTGTAGGGGGTGAAAGGGTTCACAAGAGACAGAGTGGGAAACAGAACAGGCAGATTGAAATATACTGCTGAAGGGAGCAGCAGGCAGGTCAGGAGATGTCTGCTGTGCCATGTGGGTCACCTCCTGGCCTGGGATCAAACTCAGACCACAGTGGCTGCAGATAGTTTCATAGTGCTGCACTTTAACCGGCTGGGTCCCTGAAGAGGACCCCTCAATTGTATTTTAATTACCATCTACTCAAACAGCTCTCAATAGGAATTAATGACAGCTTTATGCTAGTTATTGTGATGGCTCCTAGGGATACAGAAATAAACAAGATATTCTCTGCCCTAAAACCTTACATTCTGCTAAGGAAAAATATGTAGATAAAGGGTAGCAGTTGTCTTACCAAATAATTACAGAATGTTTATGGGCTCCACGGAAGTAATCTGGTCCTTTGAAGAGAAGTAAGCAAGAGGTGTAGCAAATACAGAAACTTATCAAGTGGCATCTTAATAGACTATCCTAAGTGCATGTAAAAGCTTTTTAAAATTCATAGAATTAGCACTTTGCTCAAACCGTTGCGTTTCAATGTATCTCAACCACCCATATTATGGGTTACTTAGTAATTATTTTCTAAGGAATACTGAGTGAACCTCACCTACATACACTTCTTTATCAAAATATAGTGATAAACCCAGCATTTTACGACCTCTGAATTGCTTCCATCTACTTACAGGTTTACCTGTGACTTCAGCCCTCATTGTTTCTCAGTTCCCTTATCTATTAAAAAGAAAAGGAAAAAATAATGGCATGTATTATTTCATAGGATTGTTATGAGGATTAATTAGAATAAAATGCGAGTTTTAGCACAGCCTTAGCACTTAACTGAACCAAAGGTTATTAAAATACATAGGCTGGGCCCTCCCTGGAAGCTAAAACCATCTCAGCATGAGTTTGATCCCTGCGCGGGAGGTGACCCACGTGG